TGTCACGGACCCTGCCGTGTTATCTATGATTATTACACTTTTCATTCATAATTTCAGCGGGAGGGAGGGGGAGCGGCGCTGAGGAACAGCAGAGTGCGGGCTGACAGGTGTCTGTGTTGACATTCCCCTTATTGTGGAATAAGGGGAATGCAGAGACAGGCTACAAGTGTTTTTAGGGTTCTAAGTTAGACAACTAATGTCTGTGTTAGTGTTCATGACTTCATGTTCATGACTTCATTCATCTTAATGGTTAATCTCAATGCAGACACATTTTCCGTGCTTTCCAATAGTTTAAAATAGTTTTATTCCACTGTTAAATAACCGGTTCAATACAAACATGCCACTTGTACAAATTAAATAAAATGTCTGTGAACTGATATTTGTTTAGTGAGCTTATTAGAGGATGTTCCCTGAAAGATTGTAAAATGTCAATGAAGATGTCAGACTTAGTATGTTTGTTAATAATTACATACAACACATGGAATTTGTGTGTGTGTGTGTTCAAAGTGAATCTGAGGCCCCCTGGTGGCCAGTACATAAATGATGTGGCCCCCACCACCATCCAAGTTGCCCATCCCTGCTCTACACAGTATGCTCTGGGTAGATTAGCTGACAAAACGAAATCTCATGCACAGTGTCTTAAGTTGAGCCTGATTAGGAATCTGCGAGGCTGAAAACAATATGGAAGTAAAACAAAACGTACATGTAGAATAACATTCTTTACTCATGATATCCCTAAAATAAGGAAACATTGAACATTAGTCTTTTCTGGTCAAATGTAAATTTAAATGGCTGGTGTTACTTTAAGCAGTCGTATTGCAGGACAGGCCTTGGGCTCACCTTCTTGATGTCCCGCAGAGAGATCAGGCCCCAGCCCTTCCCGGGCGCCTTGATGATCTTGGTCTCGGGGTAGAGGCGTTTGGTGAAGTCTTGGTTACAGCAGCGCACCCCGCTGGGACACACCTGCGGGTGACACTCGTACTGCAGCATGCGGTTCAGACACTCCGACTCAAACCCACACGGCCTGTCCACTGACGGCTTGCAGTTACACTTCGGGATCTCAGAAATGTCCGCAGTGTAGACCTGAACCTTACCGTACGGTTTATTCACCTGAAGGCAGAAGAAAAAGAAAAAACAATCAACGTCAGGAAAAATCAATAACAAATGATATCTATAAAAGTAGGAAAGCAAACTCTTCAGATTCATTAACTGAATACTTGAACAAAGGAGAAAAAGGGAAAACACTTTTAGATTTCACACCTTGATAAACTTATAAGGGGGTGGCTTTCGGCTGTTTTCTTGCGCTTCCTTGGCCTCTCGTTTGATTTTGTTCTCCTTGAAACGAGCTTCAGCCTCCAGCAAAGCTGTGGAAAAACAGACAATGTACAGGCTTATCACATGATCTCTCTGTAAACATTTACCAAACATTTAGCTGAAGTTAAAACAGTGCAAGTGCGTAAACAGTGCAATTTCAAAACTAGCACTTTTTCAATTAGACAGTTTATGCTTTCTTAATTGTGCTTATATTCTTTTAACTTGATAAATGTGAATTTGGAAAACATTTAGAAAAGGTATTGTACCGAAATGATTCTGTTGACATTTACATTGAAAAAGTTCCCCTTAACCAGTTAAGCCCCGAGCCTGTTTTTCAGGTCTCAGGCTCAGGCTCGAAAATGACATTCCCAGAACAAATGACTACCGTAATTTTCGGACTATAAGCCGCACCTGAATATAAGCCGCAGCAGCGGCATACCACTCTCGGTTCCACTTTTACTTTTGCGCGCTACCTGTCTCACTCTTTTCCGGCCTCCAGCTTTTCCTGCTGGAACCCGCCGCTTAAAGGTGGGGGTCCGCGGACCGGCCATAGAGCCTATAGAGTTAAAGGTGTTGGCCGTTAGCTGTAAAAATCCATAGATTAGCCGCACCGTTATATAAGCCGCAGCGTCGAAAAATAGGGGAAAAGGCGCGGCTTATAGTCCGAAAATTACGGTATATCTTCACTTCTAAAAAGCGGTAAATGAATAATATTTTTTCTCAAAGCAATGATAAACCTGTGAGTTGGATGTAGAAAAGTCAGAATCAATATAGATGTTTTTATTTTAAAGTAAATTCAGATTGAACATAGTAAAAAAAATGTAAATGATAGTGTCCGTCCAAAAAAATAAAAATAAAAATACATTACTTATAGTGAAAACCACCCTTGAATGATGGGTTAG